TGAGCTAACATCCATGCCAATCCTCCTCTTTTTGCTCAGGTAGACCAGCTCTGAGCTAACATCTATTGCCAATCCTCCTCCTTTTTCTCCCCAAAGCCCCAGTAGATAGTTGTATGTCATAGCTGCACATCCTTCTAGTTGCTATACGTGGGACGCGGCCTCAGCATGGCTGGACAGGTGGTGCGTCGGTGCGCGCCTGGGATCCGAACCCCAGGCCGCTGGTAGCAGAGCGTGTGCACCCAACCGCTAAGCCACTGGGACGGCCAGAACACTTCCCTTTTGGAAACCTCACTCACCCTGCCAATACTACTGTAAACAGTTTGGTGTGGATTCCTCTGTGCTTTTTTCTTTGCTCATGCAAACATATATTTACACACATTGAATTTTTTAATTAAAATGGGATTATATTATATACATAGCTTACTCTTTCCACTTAACAATATATGCTTGACATCCTTCTAAGCGTATATATGTGGAGCTTCTTCATTCTTTTTGTTTAGAAATTGTGAAAGCTAATCTTCTTATTCTGGTGATTTTTTTTAATTAAACTTTTTATTTTGAGATAATTATAGATTCACATGCAATTGTAAGAAATAATATGGAGAGATCTCAAGTACCCTTGACTCAGGTCATCCCAATCGTAACAGCTAGCAAAACTATCTACACTATCACAGCCAGGATATTGACATTGATACAATTAAGATACAGAACATCTCCAGTACCATAAAGATGTGGCCCTTTTCTAGCCACACCCTCCTCCTTCCCAAACCTTTCTCCTCCTTAACCCCTGGCAATCACTAATCTGTTCTCCATTTCTATAATTTGTCATTTCAAGAATGTTATATAAGTGGAATTATACAGTATGTTTCCTTTTAGAATTGGCTTTTCTTCACCCAGCATAATTCTCTGGAGATTCATCTAAGTTGTTGTATAACTATACATGATTCATTCTTTTTTACTCCTGAAAAGTATTCCATGGTATGGATAACCATTCACAAATGTCAAAGGACATTTGTGTTGTTTCTAGTTGTTAGCTATTACAAATAAAGCTACTACAAACATTTGTGTACAGATTTTTGTGTAAACATAACTCTTCATTTCTCTGGGATAAATGCCTAGGAGTGCAATTGCTGGGTTGTTGCATGTTTAGTTTTTAAAGAAACTGCCAAACTGTTTTCCAGGATGGCTATACCATTTTACACTCCTTCCAATAATGTAAGAGTAAACCAGTTTCTCTGCATCCTCACCAGCATTTGGTGTTGTCACTATTTTTTATTTTGGCCATTCTGATAGGTGGGTGATAGCTCATTGTGGTTTTAATTTGCATTTCCCTAATGACTAATGATGTTGAACACATTTTCATGTACTTATTTGCCATCTTTATATCCTCTTTGGTGAAATGTCTGTTCATGTCTTTTGCCCATTTTCTAACTGAATTGTTTGTTTTTTGGTATTGAGTTTTGGGAGTTGTTTACATGTTCTAGATTCTGGTCCTTTGTTAGATATATAGTTTGCATATATTTTCTCACACTCTGTAAACTGTGTTTTCCTCTTCTTAATCAAGTCTTTTGCAGAGCAAAAGTTTTTAATGTTGATGAAGACCAATTTGTCCATTTTTCCTTTTATGAATCATGCTTTTGGTGTCAAGTGTAAGAATTCTTTGCCTAATCTAGATCCTGAAGATTTTCTCCTATGTGATATAATTTTATATTTTACAGTTAAGTTCCTAGTCCATTTTGAATTAATTTTAAAATAAGATGTGAGACTTAGGTCAAGGGTTTGTTGTTGTTTATGTTGTGGTTTTTAACCTATGGATGTCCAATTACTCCAACACCATTTATTGAAAAAGGCTATCTTTCCTCTATTGAATTGCTTTTGTACTTTTGTGTAAAAAAATCAGTTGGGCGTATTTATGTGGGTCTATTTCTGGGTTCTCTATTTTGTTTCATTGATCCATGTGTCTATCCCTCCACTAATACTACACATGCTTGAGCACTCTAGTTATATGTCTTGAAAGCAGATAGACTGATTTCTCCTACTTTCTTCTTTTTTCAAAATTCTTTTAGCTTTCTAGTTCCTTTGGCTTTCCATATAAATTTTAGAATAATCTTGTCTATAGCTACAAAGAATCCTAATGGAAATTTGATAGAAATCGTGTTAAACCTGTATCAGTTTGGGGAGAATTGACATCTTTACTATGTTGAGTCTTCCAATCCATGAACATGGTCTCTCCATTTATTTAGATCTTCTTTGACTTCTTTCATCAGCATTGTGTAGTTTTTAGCATACAAATCCTATGCGTGTTTGTTAGATTTACCTAAGTGTTTCTCTTTTTTTTTTTAGCAATTGTAAATGGCATTGTATTTTTAATTTCTGTGTACACATGTTCATTGCTAGTATATAGAAATACAATAGATTTTTGTAGATTTATCTTATATTCTGTAACCTTACTGAACTCACTTATTCATTCTAAGAGTTTTTCAAAATAGATTCCTTGAGATTTTCTACATAAGTAATCATGTCATTTGCAAATAGGAACAGTTTTATTTCTTCCTTTCCAATCAGTATTCCTTTTATTTCCTTTTTTTTGACTTATTGCACTGGCTAGGGATTGCTGTACTATGTTGAATAAGCGCAGTAAGAGCAGACATCTTTGCCCTGTTCCTAATCTTAGGGGGAAAGTATTCAGTCTTTCACCATTAAGTATAATGTTATGTGTAGTTTTTTTTAGATGCTTCTTAAATTTTCACTCAGTTCAATGTATTTTTTAAATTTCTCTTGAGACTTCTTCTTTGACCCAGGGAATACTTAAAAGTTGTTGAGTTTCCAAGTGTTTGGAGATTTTTCCTGTTATATGTCTGTTATTGATTTCTGATTTGATTCCATGTAGTCAGAGAACATACTCTATATGATTTCAATTATTTTAAATTTGTTGAGGTTTGTTTTATGGCTCAAGACGTGGACTATCTCGGTATATGTTCTGTGGACATTTGAAAATAATATGTATTCTGCTGTTGTTGGGTGGAGTATTCTATAAATGTCAATTAGATCCTGTTGGTTGATGGTGTTATTGAGCTCTTCTATATCCTTACTGATTTTCTACGTAGTTGTTTTGTCAATTGTTGGAAGAAGGGTGTTGAAACCTTCAACTATCATTATGGATTTATCTGTTTTTCCTTTTAGTTGTATCAGTTTTTCCTTCACATATTTTGTGGATCTGTTGTTTTGTGCACATACATTTAGGATTACTATGTCTTCTTGAGGGGTTGACATTTTCATCATTATGTAATGTCCTTCTCTGTCTCTGGTAGTTTTCTTTGCTCCAGCATTGACTTTATCTGAAATTAATATATCCACTCCTGCTTTTCTTTGATTAATGCTTGCATGGTGTATCCTTTTCTTCATGATTTTACTTTCAACCTGACTGTATCATTATATTTGAAGTGAGTTTACTGTAGACAGCATATTGTTGAATTATGCTTTTTAATCTACTCTATCAATCTTTGTTTTTTAATTGGTATATTTAGACCATTTACATTTAATGTAATTATTGATATGTTAGGGCTTAAATCTGCCATTTTATTTTTGTTTTCTGCTTATTCTGTTTTCTGTTTTATTTTTCCTGTGGGTTACTTGAACATCTTTTTGTAACACACTTTTTAAGAATAGTTTTAGATTTGCATAAAAATTGTGAAAATAGTACAGAGTTTCCATACACCTCATACCAAAGTTCCCCTATTATTAACATCTTACATTAGTGTGAAACATTTGTTACAATTAGTAAACCAGTATTGATACATTATTATTAACTAAAGCCCATATTTATTCAGATTTCCTTTGTTTTTATCTAATGTCCTTTTTCCATCCCAGGATCCCCTCTATAATACTATATTACATTTAGTTGTCATGTCTCCTTAGGCTTCTCTTGGCTGTGACGCTTTCTCAGACAATCTTTGTTTTTGATGACATTGACATTTTTGAGGCGTATTGGTCAGGTATTTTGTAAAATATCCGTCTATTGGGATTTGTCTGTTGTTTTTCTCTTGAATAGACTGGGCTTATGGATTTGGGGGAGGACGATCACAGAGGTAAAGTGCCGTTTTCATTACATATCAAGGGTGCATAGTATCAACATGACTTATGACTGTTGACTTTGACCTTGACCACTTGATTGAGGTAATGTTTTTCAGGTTTCTCCACTGTAAAGTTATTCTTGCCCCCTTTTCCATACTGTACTCTTTGGAAGTTAATAACTATGCACAGCCCACACTTAAGGAGTGAGGAGTTATGCTCCATCTCCTTGAGGGCAGATTATTTACATAAATTAATTGGAATTCTTCTACATGGAAGATTTGTCACTTTCCCCCCGTTTATTTATTTATTCAATCAGTTATTTATATCAGTATGCACTCATAGATATTTATTTTATACTTTGGTATGTAAATATTTTTAAATGTGTTGTAGAATCCATTTTAATTTATCAATAATGGTTTTGAGTGTATCTCTTTGTATTTTTTTAGTGATTACTCTAGGTATTACATTATATGTGTATATAACCTATCACAATCTACTTGTATTATCATTTTACCTTACCTCCCTTAACATCCCTTTACCGTCCCCATATATAATATAATTGTTTTAAATATTTCCTCTATATACATTTGGAACCACACAGATAGTCTTGTAATTTTGCTTCAACTGTCAAACATAATTTAGAAAACTTTAGAGGAAAAGGAAAGCCTAATGTATTTATCCATGTATTTGTTTACTTTGTTCTTTCTTCCTTCCTGATATTCTAAGATTCCTTCTTTCATCATTTCCTTTCTGTTTAAAGAACTTCCTTGAACCATTCTTTTAGGGTAGGTCTGCTGGCAACAAATTCTTACTTTTCTTTCATCTGAGACTGTCTTGACTTCTCCTTCATTCCTGAAGGATATTTTTCTCTGGGTATAGGATCCAGCTTATAGTTCTTTTCTTTCGTGTCACTTCCTTCAGGCCTGCATGGTTTCTGATGAGAACTCTGCTGTCATTCAAGTTGTTACCCTATAGGTAAGGTATCATTTTTCTCTGGTTGTTTTGAGCATTTTTTTCCTTGTTTTTAGTTTTCAGAAGTCTAATTATGATGGGTCTTGATGTGGATTTCTTGAAGTTTATCCTATTTATATTTGTTCAGCTTTTTGAATTTATGGGTTAAAGTCTCTTGCCAAATTTGGGAAATTTTCAGCCATTATTTTTTCAGCCCCATTTTCCTTTTTCATCTCCTTCTGGGACTCCATTGACATAAATATTAGATCTTATGTTATAGTCTCACAGGACCCTATGGCTTTGTTCATTTTTTTATAGTGTATTTTCTCTCTGTTGTTAAAATTGTATAATTTCTATTGTTCTATCTTGCAGTTCACTGATTCTTTCCTCTGACCCTTCCATTTTGCTTTTGGGCACATCCATTGATCTAAGTGTTTTGGTTATTGTATTTTTCAGTTCTAAAATTTCCACTTGGCTCTTTTTTATTATATCTTCTATTTCTTTGCTGAGGCTTTCTATTTTTTCATTTGTTTCAAGCATGTTTGTAATTGCTTGCTGAAGGATTTTTTATCATGGCTGCTTTAAAATCTTGGTCAGAGAATGCTACCATCTCTTTCATCTCAGCGTGGGCATCTATTGATTCTTTTTTTTCATCCAGTTTGAGATCTTCTGGGTTCTTGGTATCATGAGTGATTTTCGATTGGAACCTAGACATTTGAGCATTATTGTTAAGAGATTCTAGATCTTATTTAAACCTTCTAATTTAACTGGCTCCCTTTGACACTGCTCTGTCAAAGGAAGGGGGCAGTGCCACTTTGTTACTACCAAGTGGAGGCAGATATCTAAGTTCCTCTCTCATCCTGCATTGCTACTAGAGGGAGATGCTCCTCACTACTGCTGGGGAGGAGTGAACATTCCAGCTCCCCACGTGGTCTCCATGTGGTCTCCGCTCCAAGGCCTGTGGTGGAGCTGGCCTTATTATTGCTGGATGATGGTGAAAGTCCTGACTCTCCACTAGGCCTCCTCTGACAGCACCCAAGCAAGGAGGGGTGCCTCATGACTGCTGGGTGAGAGTGGAAGTCCAGGCTCCTCGTGTGGTCTCCACTGACTTTGCAGAGGGTTGAGGAACCCTGTCACTAGCTGGTGCAGATTTACGTCCTAGCTCTCTACTTTGCATTCCCTGATATCATCCCAGTGAGGGTGTTGGGGCACCTCATTACAGCCTCAATAGACTATGGACTGAATTATGTCCCCCCTAAATTCATATGTCAAAGCCCTAACACCCATGTGATGGTATTTGGAGATGGGGCCTTTGGGAGGTAATTAGATTTTTTTTTTTAATTTTTATTTATTTATTTTTTTCCCCCAAAGCCCCAGTAGATAGCTGTATGTCATAGCTGTACATCCTTATAGTTGCTGTATGTGGGATGCAGCCTCAGCATGGCCAGAGAAGCGGTGTGTTGGTGCGCGCCCGGGATCTGAACCCAGGCCGCCAGCAGCGGAGCACACGCACTTAACCGCTAAGCCATGGGGCCGGCCTGGGAGGTAATTAGATTTAGATGAGGTCATCAAGACAGGGCCCTCATGATGGGATCAGTGCCCTTATAAGAAGAGACACCAGAGAGCTTGCTTTCTCTCTCCATCATGTGAGGACACAGCAAGAAGGTGGCCATCTGCAGGCCAAGAAAAGAGTCCTCTCCAGACCCCGAGCATGCTGGCACCCTGATCTCAGACTTCCAGCCTCCAGAACTGTGAGAAAATACATTCCTGTTAAACCACCCAGTCTATGGCATTTTGTTATAGCAGGCCAAGCAGACTAGTACATATGTCTACTCCATTTTCCTGAAAGCCCTCATTCTTTTCATTACTTACATAATTTCCCACAGTTGTACCATAGTTCAACTCTTTCCTCATTGATGGGTATTCAGGTTGAATCCTATTCTCTCACATTATGAACAAGGCTTATAACAACATCCTTGCACAGATATTATGAAATATTCACAACTTCATTTCTGTCAAATAGATTTTCCAGAATAGCTATTACTAGGTAAAAGGATTTTCGAATTTTGTATCTATTAAACATTGCCAGATTACTTTTAAAAGTTAGTCTAATAATTGATTGTCCCATCATGATATAATGTTGTGAGAGTGTAGGATAAAAGGTATATACAGTATGATACCATCTATGTAAATAATACATATTTTCCACACTAAACAGAGATTGGCAGGAAATAAATCAAATGTTTACAGAGGATATCTCCAAAGGGTGGAAGTGTGCATGCATTTGATATTCTTCCTTATTCTTTTCTGCATTTGCCAAATATGTATGTAATGAGCAAATAATACTTTAAAATGTGGAGAGGGTCCGGCCTCATGGCGTAGAGCTTAAGTGCACGTGCTCCGCTGCTGGCGACCCGGGATCGGATCCTGGGTGCGCACCGACGCACCGCTTGGCAGGCTGTGCTGTGGCAGCGTCTCACATAAAGTGGAGGAAGGTGGGCACGGATGTTAGCTCAGGGCCAGTCTTCCTCAGCAAAAAGAGGAGGATTTGCATGGATGTTAGCTCAGGGCTGATCTTCCTCACCATAAATAAATAAATAAACAAACAAATAAATAAAATGTGGAGAAAAAACAGTAATATTAATAAAATTTGTATAAAAGAAGTAACATATAAGGTGCAAATTAATATACAGTCAAATCTTATTATAGCAGATGCCATTTCAGCAAAATTTGAATAACAAAAAGATATCTAAAGATCAAGCTGACCTGGTCCACCAATTTCACTTCTAGGAATTTATCTTATAAGGACGTTTGCACATGTGTCCAAACATACAAGGTTTGATTCACTGTCGAATCAGTTGTGATCACAATAAAGTGAAAACCACCTAAATCTCCAATGATATCAAATTAGTCAAATAAGTCGTGGTATAATTATACAAAGGAGCTACACAGTCACTGGAAAGAAATGAAGTAGAAATATAAAGATAGAGGTAAGTATATAGATAGATATAGATAGATATAGAAACATACACATATGAATATAGAACAATCTTCAAAATATCTGTCTCATTTTTTACAAAGGTAAGGTTAGGGGGCTGGCCCGGTGGCATAGTGGTTAAGTTTGCATGCTCCTCTTTGGCAGCCTGAGGTTCGCAAGTTTGGATCCCAGGCATGGACCTACGCACCACTCATCAAGCCATGCTATGGCAGGCGTCCCACATATAAAGTAAAGGAAGATGGGCACAGATGTTAGCCCAGGGCCAATCTTCCTCAGCAAAAAGAGGACGATTGGCATGGACGTTAGCTCAGGGCTAATCTTCCTCTCTCTCACACACACACACACACACACACACACACACACACACACTAAAGTTAGAAGGAGGTGTATTGCTATGGTGTGCTCGCTACCTGAATGTCCCATTTGTTTTCCACTATATTACATCCCCAGCACCTAGAACGTTACCTAGCACTTGTAGGCACTCTGTGTGTGTGTGTGTGTGTGTGTGTGTGTGTGTATATATACATATATGATGAATTTATAATTTTATGTAAGAAAAGAGAGGCCTGAGATTCCTCAAAAACTTAAGACTAGAACTGTCACCCAGAGAAGTCCCTAAAACATTTTCCATGTCTAATGCTTTGTTTTTAAGTTGTGCTTGCTTATAGGAACCAAGACAGAACATTGCCAGATGGCCAAACTGCAGAACCAGTCCAAACCAGAAAGGTCCAAGATGGCGATGGGGTGCCATACACAAAAGGAAATGTGTGCAAAAGGTGCTGTGTGCAAAAGGAAATGTGTGCAAAAGATGCTATGTGCAAGAAGGGAAGATCCATGCAAGCCCCAAATGCCCCCGCCCCAAGCAATGACGCAGACATCCCTCCCCCTTTACATCCCATAAGAACTCTGTTCACCTTCCCTTTGGGAAGAAGGTGTTTTAGAGCACGAGCTCTGCCTCCTCCATTCATTGATCAACAGATAAAGTTTCTGCTCTGCTATTCTGAACCCGGTCTCGTTCTATTGACGTGAGCAGCTCTGGGCAAGAGGACCCACTTGCAGGTCACTGGTCCCTTAGGCCTCAATAAGAGAACTACCATATGATCCAGCTATTCCACTATTGGGTATTTATCCAAAGAACACGAACATGTAAACATACATGAACCCCTATGTTCACTGCAGCATTATTCACAATAGCCAAGACTTGGAAACAACCCAAGTGCCCATCAAGGGATGAATGGATAAGGAAGATATGGTATATATACACAATGGAATATTACTCAGCTATAAAAAAAAAGATGAAATCTTGCCATTTGCGACAACGTGGATGGACCTTGAGGGTATTATGCTAAGTGAAATAAGTCAGATGGAGAAAGTCAAATACCGTATGACCCCATTCATAAGTAGAAAATAAAAACAACAACAACAACAAACAAACACATAGATACAGAGATTAGATTGGTGGTTACCAGAGGGGAGGGGGGAGAGAGGAGGGCAAAAGAGGTGACTGGGCACATGTGTACGGTAATGGATGGTAATTAGTTTTTGGTTGGTGAACATGATGTAGTCTACACAGAAATTGAAATATAACTATATACACCTGAAATTTACATAATGTTATAAACCAATGTTACCACAATAAAAAATTAAATAAATAAATAAAAAGAAAAGAGGGACTGTATACATATGTGCTTCCACATGCATAGTTCATCCCTTGAAGGAAACGCAGAAACTGGTTAACACAGTTGCCTCTGGGGAAGGGAGCTGAGGAAACAGGGATCAGGTGTAGGAGGGAGATTCGTTGTCACTGTGTATCATCTGTATGGTTTTAAATTTTTACCATCTACTGTATTACTTTTTCAAATTATTTTTGCTTTAAAATTAACAAAAATAAATAAAGAATAAAGTTCCAGCTCAAAGTCTGCTCTTTCAAGCAATTTAGCAGAATACAGTTCTAGGACAAGAAAACCACTTGCAGAGTTTGTGGGAGTGGCTGTCCTGTGCTCTGCTGGAGGGAGTAAATTAGGAACTGGGCACCAGGAGCCGGTGGTCCAGGGGAGGTTAGTTTGATCGTAGGGGCCTCTTGAAGCAGCTGTTTGAAGGAGGAGAGGACGTGGGCAGGCAAAGGGCAGTTAACCTGGTTAACGGGCTGGTTTCTGCTTGGTGTTTGTATCAGAAAGAAATCGGGAATTGGGGGTTTTGTTAATTTTAAGGAATGGCTTTGGGTCAATGAAGATCCAGCCCACTATCCCTCTTTTACTTCATGTCCAGACCTGAAGAGTTGACATGCGTATCTGAATTGTGATTCTGCGAACCCAGTAAGAACCTTCTTGACATAGAAGGCAGAATTTTTTTCCACTGGACCAAGGCAGGAAAGGGAGACATCCGTTTTCAACAAAGATGATTTCCTATGCACTACGACCAGTTCAGGTTTGCCTGCCCCAGGATGACTTTCTATAGGAGAGCTTAGGCCTGAAAGTTGAAAGACCAAAGCTCTAGCCCCAGCTCTGCCTCCCCCTGGGCACGAAAGCCTGGGGCAGGGACTTCCCACCCTGAGCCACAGTTTCCTCCCTGTAAAAGCAAAGTCTTGGACTGGAGCCAGCTTCCCAGACCGCAGCCATTCACATACCTTATACATGTTTTTGGCCAAATCTACCGATCCTATTTATGGAACATCTTTAAACAGATTCACTTTTTCAAAATAAATTAATTTATTTTAAAAAGAAACTATATCACTATAATAAACAGAAAGCCAGTATCACTTCTCATAAACAGAAGGCAACTGTAAAAAAACAAAAAAACTAAAAATAATGTTATTATATTTATCACCTAAAACTAACACTTGAACACATCAATTAATCTTTTTTGTGTGTGTGTGTGTGAGGAAGATCAGCCCTGAGCTAACATCCGTGCTAATCCTCCTCTTTTTGCTGAGGAAGACCGGCTCTGAGCTAACATCTATTGCCAATCATCCTCCTTTTTTTCCCCAAAGCCCAGTAGATAGTTGTATGTCATAGTTGCACATCCTTCTAGTTGCTGTATGTGGGACGCGGCCTCAGCATGGCCGGAGAAGCGGTGCTTCGGTGCATGCCCAGGATCCAAACCCGGGCCGCCAGTAGCCGAGCAGTCGCACTTAACCGCTAAGTCATGGGGCCGGCCCTCAATTATAATCTTAATAGCACAAAAAGAGTGACAGACATTACATGGCTTCTGATGTGATGAAATTGGTAGTACAAAACACCATCTATGAAGTGTTCTTGTCAAAAAATTGAATGAGGGAGTGATGATACTGCAGCTATGTTTTTAAAAAGAGTCTACATTTTAAAATGAAGTATTTCAAATGAAGTACGTACAGATTAAATAATACAATGTCTGGGGCCCGGCCCGGTGGCGCAAGTGGTTGAGCGCGTGCGCTCTGCTGCGGCAGCCCGAGGTTCGCAGGTTTGGATCCCGGGTGCACACCGACACACTGCTTGTTAAGCCATGCTGTGGCAGCGTCCCATATAAAGTAGAGGAAGATGGGCACAGATGTTAGCTCAGGGCCAATCTTCCTCCAGAAAAAAAAAAATGGGAGGCTTGGCATCAGATGTTAGTTCAGGGCTAGTCCTCCTCACACACACACACAAAAATAATAATAATACAATGTCTGGTACTTGCTATAAAATAATATGGTGGGGGGTTGAGGATGTAAATGAAATGAAACAAAATTGACCACAAATTGACAATTGTTGAAGCTGAGCCGGATACATGGGGGTTCATTATATAATTATTCTACTTTTATATATGTTTGAATTTTTTATAATTAAAAGAAAATATTAAAAGTAAGCAATGAAATGCAAACAATGATAAATCTAATAAACTGATAGAATAAAAAATATATTTACAAAAATACATTTCATCCTGGTGAGGTTTTTCTAATTTTGACTCATATAACATGCCTATTCAAAAATGTGTTGAATATTAGAAGCCATACACAGAAGAAAGAAGCGTTATTTAAAGAAGAGCATGAGGGGCACATATGTATGGTGATGGATAAAAACTAGACTATTGGTGGTGAACACAATGCAGTCTATACAGAAAAGGATATATAATAATGTACACCTGAAATTTACACAATGTTACAAGCCAATATGATCTCAATAAAATAATTTAAAAAATAAAAGTAAACAATAAAGAAGAGGGGCTGGCCCCACGGCCTAGTGGTTAAGTTCAGCGCACTCTGCTTTGGCAGCCTGGGTTCAGTTCCCGAGCATGGATGTACACCACTTGTCAGTGGCCATGCTGTGGCAGCAACACAATATAGAGGAAGACTGGTATGGGTGTTAGCTCAGAGTGAAACTTCCTCAGCAAAAAGAGAAAGACTGGCAACAGATGTTAGCTCAGGGCAAGTCTTGCTGAAGTAAAAATGAAAAAGAAGAACATGAAGGCAAACCTTACCTAGAAAAAAAAGTCTCCTTTATTGCAAAACACGCTCCTAAGAAGCACTGAGATCTTAATTTTTTTCACTTTAAAAGCTAGAAAAAATCACTCTGTTGCTTTTAATGGAAGTAAACAAAGTGTCATCATGGGTCTATAGCAGTAATATTCATGAAATTATGGGTTTTATATGATAGTTGTTTTTCTAACATCAATTAAAATGTCATGAATGTTAAAATACTGAAATTATTATACACCACCAAAAGCCATTCCCTTGGCCACCAGCAGTTGGCGTAGAAAAATCTCTGGGCCTGGAGAGTGTACTGGGGTATCTGTCAAGCTGACCTCTCTGGGATCCCAGAGCTTACCAGGAGCAGGGCTCCGAAGCCAGGGATGTTCAAGCCACAGTACTTTCCCTGGACAGGGAGCAGGGCTGCCCTACCTGTGACCCAGAAGGAGCGCTGACCTCCCAGAATCTTGACCTGGGAAGGATGTTTCCAGTTGAAGAACATGTTCTTCTTCTGGGAAGCCTTGCAGGGCAGCTCCACTGTTTCTCCTGCCTTCCCCAGCACCACTTCTTTTCCCTGAGTGACTGCTGGAAGCCACGCTAGGTGGAAAAGAAAGGGGTCAGGCCTCAAGGCTGTCACTGCCCCGCCTCTGCCCCATGCTCCACCTTTGCATTTCCCCATCAGCCCCTCCTCTCAGGCCACCTGCACCCAACCTCAAGTCTGAGCACTCACCTAGCTGTAGCAGCAGGAGCAGGTGCCTGAAACAGGTTCCCCTGTTCATGGTGGCCTTGCGGAGGTGAAGCGGGCCGGAACCTGAGCCTTCCTCCGCAGAAACGCAGAAACGGCAGGGCCTGAGGGAGATACTAACCATTAGTCAGCAGGCATCCATGGGGCATGGGGCATACAGGGATGGTATGCGATCTCTCCTGTCAGCCAAGCCAGGGCCCTAGCCGTGCCTACCTCTAAGCAGACACCCACAGGTACATGCCACACAATGGGGTGCCCAGGCCAGGGGTGGGTTCTCTGCCAGTTGGGATCAGAAAAAGCTTCATGGAGAAGGTGGCAAATTGATGGGGACTGAGTCCAGGGAGCCTGGTCAGGCTGTGAAAGTCCTTGAATGCCATGCTGCGATGCTGGGACTTGACCCTGGGCACCACGGAGCCAGTAAAGAATTTTATGTAGAGAAGGACATGATTAAATTTACAAATGGCCCCTTGAACTGCCGCGTGGAAGACGCATTACAGGAGGCCGAGCACAAGAAGCAGGATTGCAACAATCCTGGTGAGAGAAGATGGGGCCTGAACTCAGAGAGAGGCTGTGGGAATGCGGAAAAAGAGACTGACTGGAAGGACAGTTCTGAGGTAAAACTCCTTGGGGCCTGATAGAGTGTGCGAGCTAAGGGAGAGAAAGGGCAGAGGGTAATTCCCTGCTCACCATCAGACCAACCCCACCAGGGCTCTGAGCCGGACAAGCAGAAAGATGCCGTCTCAGAGTTCAGATGAAGGAGCAGGAGGGTTTCTGTGAGCTTGGAAGACTGTCGAGGCTGGGGGCGGGGTTTGCAGGAAGGCTCCGAATGGACCTTGAGGAATGGGCAGCCTTAGGTTAGAGCAGTGACTCTCAAAGTGTGGTCCCGCATCAACAGCAGCAGCGTCACTTGGGAACTTGTTACAAAGGCAAATTCTCGGGCCCCACACCAGACCTGCTGAATCAGAAACTGGCGGTGGGTCTAGCGTCTGTGTTTTCACAAACCTCCAGGTAACTGATACATACTCAGGTTTGAAAACCATGAGTAAGCTGGAAAGGAAAGAAGGGCGTCCCACCCCACATGCAAAGGTGGTGGGGCTGTGGAGGAGGTTGGGAAGGCCAGAGAGGGCTCCTGGAGGGAAGCAGTGAGGGAAGATGGAAAGGCGTTTGGGGCCAACTGTAAATCCTGACAGACAGGGAAGGGAGCTAGGGCTTTGCTGTGCACTGCTGATGTTTGAGCAGGGATGTGGCTGGTCTATATAGAGCTTTATTCCCTCCCTCCCACCGCCTCCCCCCTACCCACTACTGCTTCTGTCCCTGGGCCCCTTATCCACAGCTCAAACCCTCACTGGGTTCCAGAAACACCACTTCTGCCCTTCCCCTTCAGGACCCCGCCTGCTGGTGCTAGTGTCTCTGTGCCTTCATATGCTGGTTGGTTCCCTTAACCCTGTCCACACCTCTGTCAATAACCCCCATTCTGCCGTCTCTTGAACCATTGGAGGTGGACTCTGTTTCCTGTTGGGCCCTGATTCATGACAGAGATGGAGCACTCAGATGGCTGCTGGGGGCTTGGTCCTCCCAATGAGGTTTGGGGGAAGATGATATAAAAACAAGTCCTGTCAGTCATTCTATCTGCTTGAAAGAGGAATTACTCAGGGCCTAACACTTGAAATAATTTTTTTTAAGCAGGGAAATTAGAAGAGAAGAGATGAGGGAGGAGGTTTCCAGGAAAGGAGGGAGGGCTCATCACGGGTGAAGTTGTTTACAAGTTAGCATGGGGCATGGAGGCACTGAGGGCACGGCTGGGTGCGAGAGTGGGGTAGGGGCACTGTTACATCTGAGAGTGGTTCCTACTGTCCCCCCATGCTAGACTCACTGTGTCCTTGGTGAGCAGAGAATGAAGGAGTCTCCATATGGGGACTAAATTCAGCTGAGATGCCTGAGGAAGGCTAGGGACATTCTTGACCTTTCCCCAAATGGAGGTCACTTTTTCTTCCTCACTCGGTGATCCCGGGGTTGTACAGAGGGCCACATCCCTGGCTCCAGCTCCCTGCACTGCCCCAACCCACCCCGGGGCTCAGCTCAGTGGAGGAGGCTATGGGTTTCCAGCTGCTGCTTGCTTTGGTGCTTTGGGCTTCCGCTGCCGCTGGCCTTTGATTGCCACATCCTCAGCCTGCCCACAGGCACTCTGCCCCAGTACAGTAGCATCGTGTACACCACAGCCCTCTGAGAGAAGCTGGGTGGGCTGCTGGTCCCCAAGGTCCTGGCGTGTCTGTCTGTCTGTCTCTGCTTGTTTCTCTGATCACATCTGCGCATTTCTGCATCTGTGCCTCCCCACACTGATGCCTCCATCTTCAACTCCCTGAGTCTGTGTCTCTCCTCCTCTGTGCCTCATATGCCAGGAGGCAATTCCGGCTCTCCTGGTCTCGCTTGGAGGGCCCCTTCCCTCTTCTCCTTCTTCATCTCTCCTTTCTCCAGCTGCCACTAAGCTCTAGTCCCTTCTCAGCCCGTAAACAGGTATCCAGGCCTCTGGCAGGAATGCAGCTTTCAACAAGCTTTGATCTGAAGGGAGCCTGCAGAGCACGGCCTGGAGCCAAGGGGTGGGTGAAAGGGAGATTGCTGCAGGGTGGGCAAAATGAAAAGGACAGGTTCCTAAAAACACACAGAGGCCCCGAAGGAGGATGAGGGGAGGATGGGGGGAAAGAAGGTAGGAGAGACCCAGAGCAGCTCATTAAGCAACAGCTACACTTCACACAATCCTCAGTCACACACAAAGCCCAGGGTAGTACAAACAAGGTAGAGGCAGAGGGAAAGAGATGAAGAAATTCTGAGAGGCAAGACGCATGCACACAGCACTAGACCCAAGAGAGACAGAGAGACCAAGAGAGCGATGAGACCAAAATGGCAACACACCCGCACACTCTCTCAGAGCCTTGAGGTTCCCACTGCCCTCACCCTGGCCCCAGAGATGGGATGAGGAGCGAGGCTGGGGAGAGGAAGAGGGCACAGCCCCACCACAGCGACAGGCTGTGGTCCCGCAGGCACTTTCATCTTCTCCCCATAGCCCCCAGTCAGCCCCCTCAAGCCCAGCCGCGGGACGTGCCCTCCTCCACACACACCCTCACTACTGCTTACTGGCTTCTATAAACTTCCTAGAGACCATGATCCTTCTAAGGGACCCCTGTGGTTCGGTGGCTGCAACCTCCGCCATCCTCCCCTTTGCCTCAGACGCCCACGTGGGGGGAGCCGTGCCCTCCCCCCTTCCCCTATCCCCCGAAAGGTGCAGAACACAGCTCAACCTTAGAGCCTTCCAAACCCAGGCCCTGTCTGCCCTCTGCCAGCACCCACCCTCATCAAAGTTATTTCATTCAACAAACATTTATTGAGTGTCTAAAATGTGCAAGGCCTTTGGTCTACCCAACTCCCCTCAGGGCCGCTTCACCATTATGGCCAGGATCAGGGCCTAAGGGGCTGTGAGGCTTCCGCCTAGAACCAGTTGGCGGGGGGAGTTTTTATTTTGAGGAAGACCTCTTCTACATAAGTGCCCCAAAATGAAAGAGGGAAATCATCTCTTGAGGTGTCTCTAGCCCCTGTCCTCTGGGAGCTCCTTCACCTCAGATTAACAGGGCGGCCATTTTGTATGAGCCTACAGAATCTAACACAGCACAAGAAATTATTTGTCAAAACACGAGACGCAATGATCTCCCCCATCAGATTCTCCTTTCAGCCTTGCACTCCTAAAAATTTGCCCTGCAAGAACAAGACATTCGGGACGAGCTATTCCACCCAGAGCAAAATCTTTGAATTAGTGAGAGTGGGGCCTTTCTATTTTGAGGAATCAGACCGTACCCCTGGAGGTCCCTCTCCTAGAACATGTCTGCAAGGGAAGGCAGAGGACAGCTGGGGAACAGGGATGTAAGGCCTTGGAGGTCTTAAGAGGGCAAAGGACTGAGGGTGGGGAGGCGGGAGGCTGGAGTTGTTCAGGGCATCTCATCTAGAGGGGCATCACCTCCTGTGTCCCCCACACACACCACCAACCCCGGGGGGTGGGAGTGGGGGGTGTCAGCAAATCTTTCTCTAACTCCCCTAGCCTTCTTTTCCAGAGCAGCTGAGGCACCTAAAACCAATTCTTTTAGAACCAATTTTTCTAATGATGTATTTACTTAAAAGTTGTATCTGTGACTTTTACGGTATTCTGTATGAAAGAGCTCAGTTTCAACCTTTTTTGAGAATTTTAGCTTTCCCATTTCATTAATCATTTTAAAGCCAATTAAAGTGGAAGTGCCTTTAAAGATATTGTTCAAAAATCATAAAAATGCACAAAAGTAGACCAAAAAAAGTAAAAACACATATCAACAGAAAAGATAGTTAATGGAGAGGCCTTATCAGTCAGTCATATGGTTTATGAATGCAGCATGTATGATTTCTGGAGTGACTTTTTGGTAATAGTGTTATTGGGAAAATTGATTTGAGGAGAATTCCCTCTATACTAGATTCTACTTCTCTTTCTTTTTTCCTTGCTTTTATTTTATTTCTTCTTTTCATATCTTTTTCATAGGCCTCCTCCCTCCTTAATATTCGCGTATTCTCTTTCTTTCCCACCACTTCTTCCCTCTTTTCCCCTCTTCCTATCTTCATCTCCTGCACTGCCCCATGACTAGTCGCCTTCCACTGCCTTTCCCAGCCCTGGGTGGCCTCGAGTCCCCATTCCTTTTCTGCTTTCGCAATCCGAGGCAACACTCCTCTAAGAAGCACGTTCTGCTCTGGGTGCTGAACTGTGCACATTGGAGACGCCGAGAGGAGTTTGGCATAGTCCCTGGCTTCTTGAAGCTCACACTTCCAGTGGGAGATCACTGCTCACGAAATGCAAGAGAAGGAGACCAGAGCAGTGGGCAGAGAACTAGGAATTCAGCACATTCCAGCGCATCTGCTGCCACATTCTCCTCCCCTTCCCAGACCCTCGGAAAGGAATGAAGCTGAGTCGTCCATCTTACCTCTGGGCCTGTGTCTTTCTTCTCCTCTGCTTTTCACACAAGTGTGCCTAGGTGAGGGCCGGGAGCTCTGCAACCAGGAGCCCACTGGGGAGAGCACTTGTTACTTCTGCAGAGATGTGCTTAAATGAAGAGACAGGAAGCCCGGTAGTCAGGCTCCTCCACAACCCAGGCCTGGGCCGGCCCCCAACGTCACCATCTGGGGCTGGGGTCCCCACCCCCTGCCTCTTGGGGAAGATGTCAAAGTGAAAATGCCAGAGAGAAGGGAAAAAGTTAAGCAGAACCAGGCTGGAGCCCAGAGTGTTGTGCGCTTGTTGTTAGGTGACAGGAAAAAGCTTATGTCAATGATATTGCGATCTGACCTGGGCTTCGGGGAAATAAAAAATGGGAAGTAGGCAGAAGGCATATGAGAGCAGTTACGGTAAGCCCCAAAGAGCTCCTTGCTCCAGGGCCCTGAGGGCATTTGTTCAGTGGATAGGCACCAGAGGCATTATAGATGGCCCGGTGTGGCAGAAAGGGTCTGGTCTGAGAGGCGGATATCTGAGACACCCAGAGTGTCCGTGGACCAGACACTTTTCCTCTAGGCCTTTGTCTCTGGCCAACCCGCAAATGTTTATCTCTGGCACAGATCTCTTGGGAGCTCCAGATGCGTAAACCCACCTGCTCACTGGACATCTCCTCTTGGATGTTCACCAGACATAGCCAACTCAACACCTTTCAAACTAAACGTATCATCTGCATACTCTTACCCTCCAAACCTACTTCTCCTTCAAGTCTCCCACTCAGTGAGAGCTTCGCCATCCACCAAGCTGCTCAAGTCAAATACACTGGGTGTAATCTTTGACTCTTTCTTTACCCAACCCCTCCCACGTATTTATTTACCAATTCCCATGGACCAATTCCCCTTCTAAATAGCTCTGAAGTCTATCTAAGTCACTCTGCCCCACTGCCACCATTCTAATCCAAGGTGCCATCACCTCCTTTGCCTAGACTCCAGCTCCTGCCTCCTCACTGGTCTCCTGGCCTCTCCATTCTTTCTTAACTCCAGGCTGTCCTCCACGCAACAGCCTGAATGATCATTTAAATATGCACGTGTGGTCATGCCATGCCTTACTATGAAAAAAGTGGCTAGTTCAGCTTGTAACTCTTAACAATTAATGCAAGTGTTTCTACTGGAGACAGCTATTGTACTTCATTTGCAACAGAAGTACTTCTCATTTCATTACACAATGTACTCAAGCCTTGAGATTTAATAAAATTAATATTTACTGCTTCATCAAGGGCATTCTTAAGTGAAACTGGCATGAATTTTTGTTTCTTTTTTTACTGCAAACAAAGCGCCTGGCAGTGGAGAATACAATGGCTGTAGAATGGTTTGGCGCCACTGCCTTGATTTGTGCTGAGGCAGCAGTCTAACCCAGATTGTTTTTGCAGCATCATTGCAATGTCCACATAGTGACAAAGGCAAATAATGTCCTGTTATTTTTATGAAAATAGTTTGACCTCACAAACCCCCTGAAAGGGGCTCAGGAACAGCCATGGGCCACACTTTGAGAACCACTAATCTACTCATTCTTTCTTCAGATCTTAGCTATCTCTGCACAGACCTTCAGTTGTCCCCCAACTCTGTTTTTTCTTCCTTCTTTAGTCATAGAACCCTCAATTTTTAGCTGAGCTCATGGCTGCCCAGATTTAAGTTATACTTCCCAGCCTCCATTGCAGCTAGATGTGGCTAAATGACTCAATTTTGGCTAATGGATGTAAGTGAAAAGTGTTAGGTGTAACCTCTAAGGAGCATCCTTAAAGGGAGGGTGCATGTCCTTCAAGTGAGGGTGTGTGTCCTTCCTCAGGCCCTCACGGCCTTCCTGCAGTCTGGAGTGCAAAAACTCTGCCAACTGTTTACAAGCCTGCCTTTCTCACTTACATTACCTGGCAGGCTCCTATAGGCATTTAAGTTTACAACCCTGATCTAGTCCAGTTCTTTATATTTGTATATTCAACAATGTTAAGTGTCTACCAGGCCCAAGGCACTCTGCTGAGTGCTGGGGATGTGATGTTGAGTAAGCTAGACATGGTCACCACTCTAGCCTGTGACATAGACACTAAAGAATTAATAGTTCCATTACAATTGGACAAGTTCTACAAGGGGAGAAGCACAGAGTATGGGGAGAGCTTATCATCAGAACCTATTTCAAGCAGGAGATCAAGAAAGGCTTCCATGGGAAGTGTGTGTCAGTAAGCACTGAGCTCTGCTACAAGTGAAAGAAAACTCAACGTAACAGAGGCTTCAATGAGACTGAAGTGGATTTCTCACCTGAAGGCAGTCTGGAGGCAGGAGGTTCAGAGGTGAGTGAGCCCACACTCTACCCCAGCAGCGGGATTTGAGCTGTTTGTATCTTGTTGCCCCACCCACCATCCTCCACACATGACGTCTCCTCCAAGTCTGAGCGGGCTGCTCAAGCTCCTCTGTTGAAGTCAGGGTCCCTTACGGGAAGATCGCCCAGTATCCTGAGCTTCTCCCTTGCAAGCAGTTGTCCCAGTGTAATGAAATTATTAACTGTTTAGAGTCTGTCTCATGGACTAGAGCAGTGACCACATCTGTCTTGCTTAGCACCAGACCCCAGCACCCAGCAGAGTGCCTGGGGCCTGGTAGACCATTATTACTTGTCAATACCTTTTTTTAATATTAGATTTTATTGATATTTACTGATATTAAGTTGGTTGTGATAAAATATACATAACATAGTATTTACCATCGTAACTGTTTTTAAGTGTACAGTTCTGTGGCATTAAGTACATTTATGTTATTGTGCAACCATCACCACCATCCATCTCCAGAACTTTTTCATCTTCCCCGACTGATACTCTATACCTATTACACACTAACTCCCCATTCCTCCCTCCCCCCAGCCCCTGGCTGTTGAATAAGTTTTTGAATGAATGATGGAGAGGGACTAGAACAAGGGGCACAAACTTAAATGCCTGCAGGAGCCTGCTAGGTAATATAAATGAGAAAAGCAGGCTGGCTGTAAGCAATAGGGAGGGGTGGGGACTGAGGTAAACTAGAGAACAGCTGCCTCATCTAATGAGGGCAGCCTCTAGCCACACAGCTCCAGCTGAGCTGAGTAGAGGTTGTACCAGAATGTGGACACAGGGTTGCCAGCTCTGCCAAAATTTGGAGAGAAGGTGAAAAACCAGACATTTATGTAATGTCTCCTAATTTTAATGTTGGCAACTAATTTTTTGTTTTGTTCTAACATTAGGTGAATCAAACAAAGCATTCCAAGGGCTGGATCTAGCTTAGGGCCCACCAGTTTGCAACTGATGGACCAGATGGAATGTGTGAGGCCATCTAGCTCTTGGGTCAGCGACCTGTGACTGCCTGTGAAGAGAGGTTCTCAAACCCCACGAACCTGGCTCTCCCTCTGTTTCCAAACAGGAAAAGAAAAGAAGAGAGAGCAAGTTTATATTGAAAATTTAGAACTGCTGTGTACTTTATATGGCTGTGTATTTTATTTAATCCTCACAACAGAATAAGGAGTAGGTAATATTCTCCAGACCATACAGATGAGGAAACTGAGGTTCAAAGAGTTTAAGAAAATTGCTAGGGCCGGCCCCGTGGCTTAGTGGTTAAGTGCGCGCGCTCCGCTGCTGGCAGCCCGGGTTCAGATCCCGGGCACGCACCGACGCACCGCTTCTCCGGCCATGCCGAGGCCACGCCGAGGCCACGTTCCACATACAGCAACTAGAAGGATGTGCAGCTATGACATACAACTATCTACTGGGGCTTTGGGGGAAAAAAAAAAATTAATTAAATTAAAAAAAAAAAAAAAAGAAAATAGCTAAAGACCACAGTGCTAGTAAGCATAACTAGTGGAACTGGGATCTAAACTTACATACTTGGTCCCCAATCTCTGGGTTGTCCGCTCACCCCACTGCCTCCCGTCTGCATTAAGAAAGGCCAGGGCGATGACTAAGGGAAGTCTTCTCCCATAGCAGTGGAGGTGGGATGAGGCCAACAACCTCACTGGGGCTTCTGAGGCTTACCATCACATTGATCCCTCACACCTATAGGGCAACTTTCCATTTTCGAAGTACTTTCACAGACACTAGCACAGGACAAGCCTTTTTGGTAGGTATTACTATCCTCCTTTTACAGAAGAAGCAACCGAAGTTAAGCTATCTGCCCCATCCTATGACTGTCAGCATGGAGAACGCCAATTTCCAGAAGTCTCTTTGTTCCTGGTAGAGAGCTATTTTTGCTTCATATATTCTGTCTCCAGGTTGGAGAAGGTGGGGGGACAAAGAGATTGGAAGCAGAGGGAAGCCAGCATTGTGGGCTGCTCACAGAGTGTTGGAGACCAGGCTAATGGAGAAGGAGGAGGGCTGCCTGTGGAGTAAGGAAGTTGGAAGCCCCAGGTGCAGTTGTGTGGTGGCCTCTTTACCAGAAACATCTGCAGCTCAATGACACCCTCTGCAAAGCGGGCTGGGGGCAGGGCTCGGAGCTGGGGGAGTGGAGGAGGGGTAACAGAAGCTGTTCTCTGAGAAGCAGAGTCTTGGAGGGCTGACCCACCTCCCCCCCACCAGCCACATTCTTCCTTGCTCCATGAACACTTTCTGCAAATCTCAGAGGGTGGTTCCTGGGCCTCCCACACCCTATGGGAGGTATGAGCAGGCAAATTTCACAGCCCAGCCTGGGCTCAGACAGCTGACACCTGCAGCCCCTTGGAGAAACTGTCAGCCACAGAGTGGAACAGATAGAACCCATCCCCTCCCCAGCCCCATTCCCTTCAAAGGCGAACTCCACCTTGGGTGGGCCTGAGCAGGGCAACCTAAGCTCCTCGCTCACCTCCTTTATGGGAGGGGGAGCAGCAGGGGCTCAGGCCTGAAACCTAATGCCTCTGCCTGGTGGGGGCGGGGGGGCAGGGAAATTATGGGCCTGCCCTGCCCCGTGGAGATGAGAAGACCAGGTCAGGAGTGGAGGACATGCTGGCAAATGTGACCACAGGTGTGAAGGAGCACAGTACGGCCTCTTGCATGACACACACGACTTGGCAAAGCTCTGAACTACATTTGGCCTCCGGAACTTCTGGACAGTGGACAATGGAGAAGGCTGTCAGATCCATGGTAGGGCTGGGGGTGGAGGTACTCAGAGATGCCTTTTTGCCTCTCTTGGCCTCTCTTTCAGACACTGTACCCCTCTATGGTAGCCAGGCTGCAAGATGGCCCCCAATGATTCCTGCCTCCTTCAATTCACACCCTTATGTGGTCTGCTCCCACATTGTATCAGCACTGGTCTGTGTGATCAGTAGAACAGAGCAGAAGTGATGATATGTCACTCTCAAGATTAGGTTATAAAGACATGGCAGCTTTCGTCTTGGCAACTCTCTCCCTCTGGAGGAAGCCAGTTACTATGTCACAAGCGGTCCTATGAAGAGCCCCATGTAGGGAGGAACTAAAGCTCCTGGCCAGCAGCCAACTGAAGGAGCCTTCTTGGAAGCAGATCCTCCAGCCCAGCCAAGCCTTCCGATGGTTACAGCCCTGGCCCACACCTTGGCAGCAGCTTCACAAGAGACCCTGCACCAGAATTACTCAGCTAAGCTACTCTTGGATTCCTGACCGTGTGAAATAACATGTTGATTGTTTTAAATTACCGAGTTTGGGGGTGATTTGTTATGTGGCAATAGGTAACCAATATAACCACTTCCTTTTTAACAAGGACCTAAGATGATCTCCCCTCCCCAACCCCCACTGAGCTCCCTGTGTCCTTGATGCCCCTTCCCCTGAAGGACCTCAGCCTGGATCATTGGTTTGCAGATAAACTTGGAGATGTGGGATGAATTAACCTAGCTTCCTGGAAGGCCTTAAGAGGACACGAAAAGGCTGGAAGTTATCTTGCTGGATGGGGAGTGGGGCTTTGGGGGACAGGAGGAGGAGCTGGAATGCGTCACCCCCTAGAAGAGATCCCACAGAGAAGGGGGTAAGAATTAATCAAAGGAGCGCTATATGCACAAGCCCGTGCCCCCTCTTCCTTCCGCCTTTTGCTCTTCTCTTCCTTAGTGGGTGGAGGATCAAGGTGGCCCTTCGCTCTGCCTCTGTCCCCTCCCTGTCCCCTTTGCGCAGGAGCATGGGGAAGTCCCTGCATAGATGCAGGTGAATCCTCGATGACTACTCTCATAAGCCCAAAGGGCATAGGGTGTTACCTAGTAGAGAGGAAAAACACCGCCCACAGAACTTTCCAGGAAACCCCTGTCCCATTAAGACATGGGGGCTTCCATTGTGTCTATGACAGCAGGGGCATGGGGCAGAGCTAAGGAGTCTCCTCAGCCAAGGGTGGGAATGATGCTTCCGAGGCTTCTCAGAGGGCCTTCAGGACTTCAGCATACAGTGTGATCCGTCCACGGTGAGCCCCAGAGCCTCCTTTCTGTGCCTCTGTTTGGCTACTGGGGACAGTGACAAGGCAAGGGTCCCCACCATCCTAAGGCTCAGAACTCAGATTGCCTTAAATGGTTCATTGTTCAGACTTCAGAGGGCGCCCCTATACCCCTAAGGCTCCACACAGAACAAAGGTGTCCCTCTCTCCGTTCTCTGTCCTCAAGTCTCTAGCCATTGTGTCTCCACAGAGACAGGTCTTCAGCCTCATGGTTTGTCTCTGTGCCACTGTGCGCACGGCACACAGGCTCAGGGCCTTTGCCACAGCACGGGTATATGCCATCACGTGCCTCTTGCTCCTGCTGGCTCACTCCCACTCTCAATATTCTTTTCCCTCTTGTCCAGGGTTAAAGTTCCCTGACAAAGCTGTCTGCAGCCAAAGTCCAGAGCCCTGCACATACTGCAGGCAGAGGTCCAGGTCCCCATGGGGGCACTGTGGGCTGAGGCTGTGTGTGTGCTCTGCTGAGGGTCGGTCTGCCTGGTGCAGATGAATGTTCTCTCCAAGAGACACAGATGGGTCGAGGGGAGCAGGCAAGCTTGTGGGTCTTAGATGTCATTACCAGCATGAATAGAGCAGGCCTGCTTCCTCCTTCACGAATGGATGATCAGACAAGTACGTCACATGTGTGGAGCACTTCACAGTTTTCAAAGCCCTTTTATCATCTGATATTCACAAAAACTCGTTTTGGTGGGTTATTATTATCCCATTTAATAGGTGAGGAAACTGAGGCTCAGGGAGATTAGCTCTGGTCATCTTAGCAGAGCTGGAATCCGAAGCCAGGTCTCCTGACTCCCAAAGCTGCAGCAACAGCCAGCTGTCTTGCTGGCTGTTTTTCTCCCCACGTGGGGCCTTTGTTCACAAAATCCCCTTTGTCAGACTTGGGTCATAACCTTGCCAGGGCCAGGGCTATGTGTCCTGGCTATATTGTTCAGTCCCTCTCCTGGAGGGTGCATAAGGCCTATGACAGCTGCTGGGTGCACATGCGTATGCGGACCACAGAGAGTGCACCCCACAAAGGCGGTGCCTGCACGTGGGCATCTGGGCTTGCCTCACCCACTGCACTTTAATCCCAGGTCCGCCCCAGTCGGCCCAGTACCTCTGGTGGTATGTGACAAAGTGACCACTGGGTGGCAGTGTGTTCTCATGCCTGGGACCAGACGAGCGACCAAGAGCTGAGGAATGTGGGGGTGGGGTGGAGGCAGCCAGGAACCTCGGCCAGCTGCCCAGAAAGGTTGCAAGATCTGATCTCCCCGGGGGACTAGACATGGCAGGGCTCCTCCGTGTGTGTGTGTGTGTGTGTGTGTGTGTGTGCGCGCGCGCGCTGTAGCCAGAGGGCCAAGGACAGTGCCGAAGTGGAGCCGAGTGTGGGGTGGGGTGGGGTGGGCCAGAGGAACAAAAATATAAAGGAAACCAGGGCGGCCAGCATGCTCTGAGTAGATGGGAGGAGGAGAGGGCTGTTGAGGTAAGGGGTAAGGGCTTTTTGGAGCTTCAGAAAAACAACTACCCAGAAAAGAGAGAAAACCAGGAAGAAAGAATCACGAAGAAGCCAGGAGCAGAAAAGGGGAAGATAGATTGGCTGGGAAAAGTAGGTCGAAAGGCTGGGTGGGACAAGGGAGCCCCCAGAGGCTGGCGAGAGACAAGAACCTTCACTGGACAAGAAGGAGCCAGACTCAGGCTTGCTGCTGACAGGGACTTTATTTGGACTGAGCTGCGGAGATTAGCTGGCTGCCTCAGCTCCAGCTCAGGGCTGCTCCAGCTCCGGCTCTGGCTCCGGCTCCTGCTCCGGCTCCGGCTCCGGCTCCTGCTCCGGCTCCAGCTCCGGCTCTGTCTCCAGCTCTGCCTCTGGCTCCAGCTCCTCTATCTTGCTCTGAGCCTGAGGTGGGTGAATCCCATGCTCTAAGGCAGAGAATCTTCTTGCTCGCCACTGTGGGAAGACATGGAGAGAGAGATGGAGGGTGGGAAGAGGAGAAGCATGAAGGGAAAGGGAATAGAATACTGAGTCCATCTATTCTTTCCCAGCCCCCTGCCCTCCCCATCGGGTCACAGGCCTTTTCTCAGCCCCTTCAAGCCTCCCCGGGGTCCTTCAGGCACAAGGGGTCCCTGGAGTGCACAGGCTTATGAAGAGAGGGCTCTGAAGGCAAGCTCAGGGGGCCACTTTAGTCATCTTCTCTGAGGAAGGGGGGCCAGAGGGCACTCCGAGGACTGGGAAGAGGGGAAGCCAATGGCGGAGGGGAGGGGTCCCTGGCTTACCTGTCTTCTCCGAAGGTGAAAGCCAAAGGCTCCAGTTACCAAGAAGAGCAGAAAGAGGATACCAAGGATGAGGAAGAGAGGGAGAAGGCCTGTTTTCAGGGCACCTGGGGCTCCCCCAGAGCGCTGGGCACCTACGGAGAAAGTATAGGATTACGCATAGGGTCAGGGCTGGAAGGACATCTTGCCACACCTTCATATTTTACAGATACAGACAACGAGGCCAGAGAGTTTAAGGGACTTGTCCAGGACCATTCAGCTAATTAGTAGCCGAAGTGGGTCAGGCCTAGACAATAGCTGGAGGTCAGGTCCCTGGTTGGAAAGAAAAGAGCTGGGACGGGGTGAGGAGGGGGTCCAGAAGTGCGATCAATGACTTGTCTGGCATTGGGCTGTGGTGTGGTGGCGTCTCAGACCTGGGCCAGACAGCTCAGTGAAGTATACCGCTGTTCCGAGAAGCCTCTCCCCCTGGTACAGATGGCACTGCCAGGGCTGGGAGAGGAGTCTGGCCTCCGATATCTGCAGCCAGGGTCCTGGGGAACTCCTCCAAGACTGCTCATTCAGGGGGCTCCACACGAAGCGCTCACGTCCGGATGCCGGAGTCACCTCACAGAGCAGTTTTCTCAGGTTGCCAGGTAACCCCAAAGACTTGGGAGTCACTGAAAAAGTTAGAGGGAAGAGATCTTTGGGGGCCCCAACCCCCTATCTTGAAACCATAGGTTCAACTCCCAAGCCTCAATCACCCTGCCTTCACCTGTGCTCTGACTGAGTGAGGCTGAGGGGAGGGGATCAGGGTCCTGGCCAAATTAATCTTACCAAGACAAAGCTCTGGTGAGATCACTGCTGCTCAAAGGCTTTCCAGGCTCCCTACTGGATTCAGGGGACTGTTGAAACTCAAACTGGCCCAGAAGAATCACATATCAAATACTATTTCAGATTCTTTTACAATACTTTCTACTCAAGTGCTCAGAATGCCCAATATCAGTCAGGTGAGTTGGCTCCCAGTATACCTTGCACTTGAAGTGTCCATGACTTGGCTCACATCAGTGCCCCCTGCCTTGGGGTGCCCACTGAATTAACTCTATCCCCCTTTATGAATGTTTAGAAAACAGTGAACTGATCTAGAGACAGAGCCTCTCAAAGCTGCACAGTGAGAGAGAGGGTGGGTAGGACACAGGGTGAAGGGCCTGGAGCTGAGCACGGTGGACAGGCACCTGAAGATTTGGTGACACAGACACCTGAATTTAGACCTCGAGCCTGGCACTTCCCAGCTGTGTGACTTTGGGAGAGTTCTCTGTAAAACAGGGGTAATAATATCTCTCCCATTGAGTTGTCATGCAGAGAGTATGGAAAACTGACACAAAACCCTCAAGAAGACTTGGACAGAAGGAATTGGTGGGCTTGGGTGACTGGATGTGGGGGAAGGAGCAGGCCAGGTTTCAGGGTGAGTGGGATACGAGTGGAGTTACTGACAGAAAGGCCAAGTCAGTAAGAGGATTGAGTGTGAGGAAAAGATGGGGTTCAGAGTGAGGCTGAGGTATGGGTACCATATCTAGGTAGAGACACCCAGGAAGTAGGTAGAAATTCAGCATTGGCCCTCGGGAGATGTACTGTTTGCTGGTGTGTTCTTTATTCATTCAACCAGTATATATTATTCAGCACCTACTACGTAAGGCTACTATTTAGTGCCACAGGTGAGTACCGCAGACACAGCCAAGGTGTCCTGGCTGATAGTTACCAATCAATCAACATGTACTTTCTGAGGGTTTTTTTTTTTTCTCTGTTTGTTTCATATTGTCTTGAAAAGCCCTTGCTCAGTAAATATTTGCTGACCAAGGGACTGATTTATTAACTCCTCCCAAATCCAGGCCACTTCCTGCAACTTTAACCCAAGCCCTGGCCCCAAAGTGGGCAAGGATTCTAGAAATATATTCCTCCTCTTTTGAAATATTCAAACTTTTGCCACCTCTCCTTCTAACTTCTCAGACCTTCCCTCCAATTCAGAGCAGGGGAGTCCCTTAGAGAAGAGTGGAACGATCACCTAGTGACTCAGGGAGATTTTCAGTTTCAGTTTTCTCTATGGGGGCGAGAAAAGAGGAGGCCACAAGTGGCAGCCTCTGCAACTTGTGCCCAGTGGCCCGGCATCAGGAGGCAGATTTGCCCAGTTTTGCCCAGCCAGCCTTCCCGCCCTGTCCTAGCTCCCCTGGGATGGGAGCTACTCCTTTCCCACCTGGGGCTGACCTGTGATGACTGCCAGAGTGACAATGGCACTGAGCTGCTGCCCCTGCAGATGGATGCGGCAGGTGTAGGTCCCAGCCTGGGCCCGGCTCACAGCCTCTAGTCGAAGAGTAAAGTTGCCATTGTCTCCAGCTACCAGGAGGTCAGGGCCTCCTCCAGGAGGGGCCCACTTGGCAGTGAGGGAAGACTGGGTCCCCACACCAGGAGGCAGGTGGCAGGGCAGCTCCACCCTGGAGCCTGCTGCAGCGTACACTGTCAGAGGGACTGAGGGCTCCAGACCTGGGGAGAAAAGGGAACCCAAAGTTAAAGCTGAGAGGGGGCAGTACAGAAGGGCTGGAGCACTGGGTCTGCAGGGAAGGGAGGTGAAGAGCACAGGAGATGGTCCTGCTCTGAAGAGTGTTAAGGAGCAGAATAAGGTGGATGAACTGAGGATGCTCAGAAACCCAGGAGGTGGCTGGGCCAGCAGGAGACCAAAGGCTGGCAAGTGAGGCTAGATGGCCAAGGGAAAAGCTAGAAGGGGAGAAGGCACATGAAAGGCTGCAATGGGAGGGAGAAAGGGGTTGGACAGTGAGGCCCAGAGCAATCACAGGTGGCATTAGCTGCCAAAGATCTGGTTTGGGGACCCATATGTCAGGGGGAGGTGACAGGGGGCAGGAAGGGGTTGTGGTCAAGTGTGAGGGCAGACTGGAGGAGTTACCCAGAACAGTGAGGATGTACGTGATGGAGACATTGAAGCCGTCTCTGTAAGTGAGGATGCAGCCCCAGGACCCAGAGTCCAAGGGGCTGACTTGGGGCAGGAAGAGGAAGCTTCCGGCGAAGTGGTGATGGGGGGACTCCTGCACAGGGACTCTGCCCGGCCCCCGGAACCAGTGCACAGAGGCTGGGAGGTCAGGACGGCTGAAGGAGCAGTTCAAAATGACCCAATCCAAGGTCCTGAGAGGCCCTGGGGGGCTGGCAGTCACTGAGTAAGAATAAAGAAGGTTTGATCAGTCCCGTGGGAAACGCTTCCCCCACACAGCAGGCTAACTAAGCTGGAAGCACCTGGAAAGGGGCACTAGGCTGTAGATTTGTCTTCTCCTGCCACCTCCCCCACAGCCCAGTGCCTGGCACCTGGGGGTGCTTAAAATGGATACCCAGAGGTCTCCCACCTGCTTCCCCCGCCTCCTGCCTCAAGTCTATTTGGCTTGGTCTACCCTTCCTTTTCTCCAGGCCTTGCCCGAGGATACCCAAAAAGCCCACCCCCTGAACTACAGATATCTGAAATGAATCACTCTAGCCCGGCACCGCCACTCCTCCGCCCCGCCACCCGCGGTGCCTCCTCTCCTCCACCCTGGCTCTGTGAGTAGGGGAAGGGGAGCTCAAGGGGTGATATAATCTCTCCCTCCATAGGGGGGCTCCCTCCCACACACGTGCTTCTCTGGGGGCCCCTTCCACTCCGCAATCAGGCTCCCTTCTGGGGTCTCTCTGGCAGAGCCTAGCAGCACGGCCTCTGCCCCAGCCCTTCTTGCCTCCGGGGCGGCGGAGACCGGGGCGCCCTCCTCCCAGCCGCGCGCCCCTCGTCCCGCCCCCACCTACTGGAGGCCTGGCCCACGCGCAGATGGAGGCGGCAGGCGAGGACGCGGTCCCGGAGGCGCACGGTGGCGCGGTACTCGCCGGCGTCGGCGCGGCGGGCCGGGCGCAGCCACAGCGAGAAGTCCCCGCGCTGGAGGCCGCGCTCGGGCAGCTGCACGTGGGATGACAGGGGCAGCCGCCCGCTGAGCAGGCCGCCGGGAGTCAGCCTCAGCACCGTGTAGCCGCGGGGCCCTGGCCCCCGCGGGGAAGGCGCCGAAGGGCGAAGGCCGAGGGCCGAGGGGCGGCCGGGGGCGGGACCAGGCGGGACCCTGGGCGGGAGAGAGAGAGAGGATTGAGAGATTCGAGGGGGAAGAAGCCCCAGGAAGATGCACCCGACCACACTGTGAGGATGAGAACACCCACCCAAAAAGCAGGTCTCTTCACCACCAACCGCTCACTCCCTCCGCTCCTCCGACCCTCTCACCGTCCAGTCCCTGTCCCTGTTCCCTTCCAGATGGGCCAGCACCATCCTCTCCTGGAGAGGCGGGCACACTAGGGGAGGCAGGTGTGAGGGGAGCTCTCTGTGGAGGAAGGGCAGGAGGGGAGCATAGCGGCAGAGGAGGCTGAGCCCTGGCTTCAGAGGGACTGACAGCTCAGGGGAGAATACAGAGGGCTGGCCTGGGCCTTGGGTTGTGAGTCTGGATGCCATTACTGCTGGATTTGGGGCTTCTGTTGCCCAAGTTTGGGGTGCATACCTGTCTGGCAGATGCTGCCAAGTGACTGCTCCTGTTCGCAGAAGGCTGAGATCCTGGAGGGGGATTGTGGGGCTGCAGGGGAGCTGGGCAGGAGCCCCCTCCTGGGCCCACACCACCGGCACCTCTGTCCCAGGCTCTGGAGCCTCCACTGGGGAGGAAAAGAGAGGCCAAGTGGAGGGGCTGAGCCAAGAGGCTTAGGAGTAGAGAAGGAGTCTCAGTGTCCTGAGGGAGAAACAGGGCTGGGGAAGACCTTGGGTTTCTGCCCCTTCCCTGCAGAGGTGGAGACTGAAGAGAGGCTTGGGGAGCTGAAGGACTGCCCCAAGCAAGGCATTAGAAGAATCTACCCAAACTAAGGACCTTGGCATCTGAGCAGTCATCGTGAGAACCCTGCTGATCCCCACATGTGGGTCTGTAGGTCAACCCTCCCAGAGGGTCATCCCCGCCTTACCTGGAGCCGCCCACAGCAGTTGCAGAAGCAGCGAGACCAGGAACTGAGGCTCCCACATCTCCCCTTAGGCCTGGGCCACGCTGAGCCCTCCAAAGGGAAGAGGTCAGAAAGGGGTTGGGACAGGATGGACAAAAGAGAGGTTCTGCAAAGAGGGAGGGGGAGGAAGGGAATGTAGAGGGAGAGGGACGGGGACAGGGACAGGGAAGGAGGCCTGGAGAGAGAGGGCAGGGACCAATGACCAGAGGCTGGAATCCAGAGGAAAGTTGGCCAGATCAGGCAGCGGGAGGGGGGCTGGTGCGAGTTCCAGGGACTGGGGCAGGGCAGTGACAGAGAGCAGAGTGGAGGCAAGGTGGCTGTCTTGAGCTGGGAGGCTGTTGTGCTGCTCCCAGGGCCCTGCCCCTGTCCTTCTGCCTTCCCTCCACCTTCCCCACTTCCCCTCCCCGTCGCCCCCCCACAAACCCCAGGGCTCACAGTTTCGCTTCGCAGTGGAAAGTCTGAGGGGGCTGATTCCCAGCAGCATTACCCTCCACCCCTGTGGTGGCGCTCCCCTTGTTTATTTCCTCAGTCCTGGGTGTCCCCACCACCCCCTCCTCTCCCTCCCTCACCTCCCTGACTGTTCTCTTTCTCAGGGACCTTCTGCGCTTCTCTCCAAACCATTTCTGCCTGCAACTACCTGCTGGCCCACCTCTACCCGGCCTCCCCAATCCCCATATTCACACTTCCTTCTTGGCAGGCCCTTTCCTTGGTACTCAGCCCCTCCCTCATTCCCTCAGCCTCCCAGAACTTCATTACCCCTGTACACCCATCCAGACAGTGCCTCCTGGGAATAGGGTAGACAGGAAGCTTTCCTGTACCCTAAGAGATGCTAGTTCTGGGGAAGGGTTCCCAAGCCCAGGGAGAAGAATAGCTACATTGTACAGAGCCTTCATTATGTGCTAGGCACTGTATTGGACACTTTACATACTCATGAAATTTATTATCCCCCATTGTGCAGATGAGAAAACTGAGGCAGGCTCAGAGATTAAATAATTTGCCAAGGTCAAACTGGGAGTGTGAAGAGCCGTGTGTGTGTGTGTGTGTGTGTGTGTGTGTGTGTGTGTGCGCGCGCAGTCCTGACCCTGGGTGAGTTGAGTGTCTTCTTGTCTTTTGGGAGAATGGTGGTGTTAGTGAGTCACATACCCCACCCTCCAGCTCAGACCCGTGTACACAGCAGCTTCTCCCAGTCCAGAGGTTCTGAACTAAGAGAAGGCAAGGGCGATATGGAGAAATGCAGAAATCCTGCAACAGAGCTCAAACACAAGAACTGAGGCAGAACTAGGGAAGGAAGCCTGAGACAGAAGGGAACTCCTGAGGGAGGTTCCCCCCCACCCCCCAC